CAAAAGAGATTGTAAAAATTATAGAGGAATAAGTTTATTGAGTATACCAGGAAAAGTGTACGGTAGGGTTATAATTGAAAGAATTAGAGGTAAGACAGAATGTAGGATTGCGGATGAGCAAGGAGGTTTCAGAGTGGGTAGGGGATGTGTAGATCAAGTGTTTACATTGAAGCATATATGTGAACAGTATTTAGATAAAGGTAGGGAAGTTTTTATTGCATTTATGGATTTAGAAAAGGCATATGATAGAGTGCATAGGGGAGCAATGTGGCAGATGTTGCAAGTATATGGAATAGGTGGTAAGTTACTAAATGTTGTAAAGAGTTTTTATGAGGATAGCGAGGCTCAGGTCAGGGTGTGTAGAAGAGAGGAAGACTACTTCCCGGTAAAAGTAGGTCTTAGACAGGGATGTGTAATGTCACCATGGTTGTTTAATATATTTAGAGATGGGGTTGTAAAAGAAGTAAATGCTAGGGTGTTCGGGAGAGGGGTGGGATTAAATTATGGGGAATCAAATTCAAAATGGGAATTAACACAGTTACTTTTTGCTGATGATACTGTGCTTATGGGAGATTCTAAAGAAAAATTGCAAAGGTTAGTGGATGAGTTTGGGAATGTGTGTAAAGGTAGAAAGTTGAAGTGAACATAGAAAAGAGTAAGGTGATGAGGGTATCAAATGATTTAGATAAAGAAAAATTGGATATCAAATTGGGGAGGAGGAGTATGGAAGAAGTGAATGTTTTCAGATACTTGGGAGTTGACGTGTTGGCGGATGGATTTATGAAGGATGAGGTTAATCATAGAATTGATGAGGGAAAAAAGGTGAGTGGTGCATTGAGGTATATGTGGAGTCAAAAAAACGTTATCTATGAGGCAAAAAAAGGGAATGTATGAAAGTATAGTAGTACCAACACTCTTATATGGGTGTGAAGCTTGGGTGGTAAATGCAGCAGCGAGGAGGCGGGTTGGAGGCAGTGGAGATGTCCTGTCTAAGGGCAATGTGTGGTGTAAATATTATGCAGAAAATTCGGATGTGGAAATTAGGAAAAACGTGTGGAGTTAATAAAGTATTAGTCAGAGGGCAGAAGAGGGTTTGTGAGGTGGTTTGGTCATTTAGAGAGATGGATCAAAGTAGAATGACATGGAAAGCACATAAATCTATAGGGGAAGGAAGGCGAGGTAGGGGTCGTCCTCGAAAGGGTTGGAGAGAGGGGGTAAAGGAGGTTTTGTGGGCAAGGGGCTTGGACTTCCAGCAAGCGTGCATGAGCGTGTTAGTTTGGAATGAATGGAGACGAATGGTACTTGGGACCTGACGATCTGTTGGAGTGTGAGCAGGGTAATATTTAGTGAAGGGATTCAGGGAAACCGGTTATTTTCATATAGTCGGACTTGAGTCCTGGAAATGGGAAGTACAATGCCTGCACTTTAAAGGAGGGGTTTGGGATATTGGCAGTTTGGAGGGATATGTTGTGTATCTTTATACGTATATGCTTCTAAACTGTTGTATTCTGAGCACCTCTGCAAAAACAGTGATTATGTGTGAGTGTGGTGAAAGTGTTGAATGATGATGAAAGCATTTTCTTTTTGGGGATTTTCTTTCTTTTTTGGGTCACCCTGCCTCGGTGGGAGACGGCCGACTTGTTGAAAAAAAAAAAAAATTGTTGTGTGTATGTAAAACTATAATTAATCTCTATAAAATGTTTTTTTTTTTTTTTTGTGAATATTTTTGGATTTCTGGAATGGATTAATTGCATTTCCATTATTTCTTACGGGAAATATTGCTTCGCTTTTCAAACTTTTCGAATTTAGAACTAGCTCCTGGAATGGATTAAGTTCGAAATTTGAGGTTCCACTGTAGGTCTATTCAAATTCAAATTTTATTCTCTATAAGGATTACAATGCTGAGTTTACAGAATTTGGTTATTGTGTGGTTTACATGTAGTAAAATAATAATTACAGAGTGTACCACTAGAACACCTAGCATGGCTAGGCATTTCGGGCAGACTTATATTAAATCTTATGTTTAAAATATTACAAAATTATGAGGTAAGTTGGTATTATGGCTAAGTGACTAAATACTAGTTGTGAGTTTAGCAATGTGAATGCTATAGTTGTTTAAATCAGTAAGAACACCTCCTTTGTGGATTGGAGTAACCCTTGCTGTCTTGAGTTAAGGATGGGAAGGTTGAAGATTCAATGGACTTGTTAAAAAGTGTTGCAATACTGGGTGACAACAAACGAGAAGCTTTTTTATACATACGTGATAGTAAGCTATTTGGGTCTCCTGCCTTGTTTTCTAGTGTTTTGATGATGAGTGAGATTTCAGTAGGGTTTTTTGGTGCTAGGAATAGAGGACTTGAGTAGTTACCAGTGAGGTAGTTTTTTGGTTGTGTGTTTGGGTTTGGGATTTTGCTTGCTAGTGTTGTTCCTACAGTCAAGAAAAAGACGTTTAGTTTGTAGGCAGTATCTCTCAGCTATATGAGAGGTTCATTTGGTTTTGTTAAGTTAATCACTTTGTTTCAAGGCAGTTTCCTAGATCCTAGACTTTCAGAGGGGGTTTTCCAGGTCTTTTTCATATCCCTTTTTATGTCATAAAGTTTGTTTTCGTAATACAGTTTTTTCCCCTTCTTATTATATTCGTAAGTGTTGATGAGTAACGTTTCGTCTGTTCCTTGGTTATCTGACCCATTCTGTACTGTTTTTCATATACATGTTTTTTGTCAATGGAACTGAGAATGCTATTTGTAAGCCAGGGGTTGTTTAGTCTCTTGGCTGTACAGTGCACCCCCGCTTAACGATCACCTCCCAATGCGACCAATTATGTAAGTGTATTTATGTAAGTGCATTTGTACGTGTATGTTTGGGGGTCTGAAATGGACTAATCTACTTCACAATATTCCTTATGGGAACAAATTCGGTCAGTACTGGCACCTGAACATACTTCTGGAATGAAAAAATATCGTTAACCGGGGGTCCACTGTAATTTGTTTTTATTAGACAATGTCTGTCATTCAAAGTTTATTCTCTATAAGGATTACAATGCTGAGTTTACAGAATTTGGTTATTGTATTGTTTACATGTAGTAAAATAATAATTACAGAGTGTACCACTAGAACACCTAGCATGGCTAGGCATTTCGGGCAGACTTAAATTAAATCTTAAGTTTAAAATATTACAAAATTATGAGGTAAGTTGGTATTATGGCTAAGTGACTAAATACTAGTTTGTGAGTTTAGCAATGTGAATGCTTTTGTTTTGGCACTATACATAGTTTCAGTATTGGAGTATCACAGGCCAACTTATGACTGGTTAAGATTCATTATTTTGAGATTGAGATTGATATTTCTGTTTATGGTCAAATGGGTGAGTGAGTGTAAGTGTTTACCACCAGGTGGTATTCGTGTAATTAGTTGACAGGGTGTATCAGGGAGATAAGATGTTTTCTGATGGTAGTTTTGAAGGTGATGAATGTGTCTGCAGTTTTAGAATTTTCAGGTAGGGTGTTCCAGATTTTAGGGCCTTTGACATACATTGAATTTTTGTAAAGGTTTAGTCGGACACGGGGAATATCATAGAGATGTTTGTGTCTGGTATTGTGCCTGTGGGTTCTGTCGCAACTATCAAGAAAGCGTTTTAGGTCAAGGTTAATATTGGAATTTAAGGTCCTGTAGATGTAGATTGCACAGTAGTAAGTGTGGATGTACTGAACAGGGAGTAAGTTTAGATCTATGAAGAGTGGGGGGGGGGGGGGGTGTTGCCAGGGATGGGATTTAGTGATTATTCTTACTGTGGCTTTTTGTTGGGTTATTATTGGCTTTAGGTGTGTTGCTGCAGTTGAACCCCAAGCACATATAGCATAGGTGAGGTATGGATATATAAGTGAATGGTATAGTGTGAGAAGGGCAGTTTGCGGCACGTAGTATCGTATCTTGGAGAGGATCCCAACCGTTTTGGATACTTTTTTGGTTATGTGTTGGATATGGGTGCTGAAGTTCATGTTGTTGTCGAGGTATAGGCCTAGGAATTTGGGTTTTTTGTAGAAAATTTTTGACACATTCATCAATAACGAGGCTGGCTGCAAGCTCACTCTGCCAATGTGTAAACTTGCGTGAACCTCTGTGGAAGTTTACACAAGTTTGTTATGAGAAAGGTGGGATAGTGGTCTGTGGAGTTATCTGTGATAATGCCTGCTCTTAGTGGGGATACAGTGTTGGTCCAGATATGGTCAAGTAGTGAGGCACATGTCTCTGATTCTTGCTGGTTAGGTTATAGATGGTAGGAGTAAGCAGTTGCTCATAGTGATAGTGAATTCAGTTACTTGTGGGTTGTGTTCATGGATGAGGTTAATGTTGAAGTCACCTGTAAGTATCAGGTGGTGTTTATTCATCTCTGAGTCAGTTATCATGTTTCTTAGGTTTTCAATAAATGTGGAAATATTTGTGTGAGGTACTCTGTAGATAGCTCCAACTGTTATAGGTTGTTTTAGGTTCACCTGACTCCATCCTACAAATACTCATTTACTTTTCATCCAGGTAGATCTGTTGACTTGATAAAGCCCACTGCGTGGGGGAAACATTGTCAATAAAGGATCACATAATACTGCTCATGTGTTTATTTTTCCAAAATCATCTTTATTTCAGTAGTATGTCTTCCATTCTATCAAATGAAACCAAGAAACAGCCAATAAGGCTATAAAAACCATACATGAAAACACTATTTTAAACCATATACATTGTCAATTTTGCTTTCCCATCATGCACTGCATGTGGCAGGATGTTTTTTATATTGTGCACACTCACCACACAGACCCATTCTCTATTATATAAGAAAACAATTGCTCCTCATAGCTTATCTGAGTGAGCTGAGCTGATGACACATAACTACATGAGGGACCTTGGCATCAATGATGTAGTTCTAGGTGATGGCCACTGAAAGGGTTAAGGACTTACTTGACTGGTCAAATTTATAATTTAGGTGCCAAAATAATATAAAAAACTCACCTCTTTAGGCTTAGCAGTGTGATGAGCAAGAACCATTAGATTAATAAGGGTATCTGGATTATTAGGATCTTTATCTAAGGCTTCCTGTAAAGCTCCTTCTGCCTCTTCATATTTACCCTGCCCAAGGAAACACACTGCCTGGCCATTGAGAAGAATGGCCGTGCTACTATTTTTGTCCATCATCTCCTGGAAGATGTAGTAGGCATCCTGGAGCTTTTCTCCACCCTGTGGCAACAAAATTCAAACAACTATGTAATGTTAGGTATACAAAACACAGGTAAATAACTGTACTTGCTCTTCAATAATAACAATATGATTATCTAAATAACTCTATTGACATTTTTTACACGAGCCTTAAAGTTTATGCATCTTAAAGGATGGATTCTAGAAAGTCAATTTTAGACAACAAAACTTACAATTTTTTTTTTTTTTTTTATTAACACTTTGGCCGATTTCCACCAAGGCAGGGTGGCCCAAAAAGGAAAAATTTTCATCATCGTTCACTCCATCACTGTCTTGCCAGAGGGGTGCTTTACACTACAGTTATAAAACTGCAACATTAACACCCCTCCTTCAGAATGTAGACACTGTACTTCCCATCTTCAGGGCTCAAGTCCGGCCTGCCGGTTTCCCTGAATCCCTTCATAAATGTTACTTTGCCCACACTCCAACAGCATGTCAAGTATTAAAAACCACTTGTCTCCATTCACTCCTATCAAATACGCTCATGCACGCTTGCTGTAAGTCCAAGCTCCTCACATACAAAACCTCCTTTACCCCCTCCCTCCAACCCTTCCTAGGCCAACCCCTACCCTGCCTTCCCTCCACTACAGATTTATACACTCTTGAAGTCATTCTGTTTTGTTCCATTCTCTCTACATGTCCGAACCACCTCAACAACCCCTCCTCAGCCCTCTGGATAACAGTTTTGGTAATCCCACACCTTCTCCTAATTTCCGAACTATGAATTCTCTGCATTAAATTCACACCACACATTGCCCTCAGACATGACATCTCCACTGCCTCCAGCCTTCTCCTCGTTGCAACATTCATCACCCATTCTTCACACCCATACAAGTGTTGGTACAACTCTACTCTCATACATTCCCCTCTTTGCTTCCACAGATAAAGTTCTTTGTCTCTACAGACTCCTAATTGCACCACTCACCCTTTTCCCCTCATCAATTCTGTGATTCACCTCATCCTTCATAGACCCATCTGCTGACACATCCATTCCTAAATATCTGAATACATTCACCTCCTCCATACTCTCTCCCTCCAATCTGATATCCAGTCTTTGTCATCTAATCTTTTTGTTATCCTCATAACCTTACTCTTTCCTATATTCACTTTTAATTTCTTCTTTTACATACCCTACCAAATTCATCCACCAACCTCTGCAACTTCTCTTCAGAATCTCCCTAAAGCACCGTGTCATCAGCAAAGAGCAACTTTGACAACTCCCACTTTGTGTTTGATTCTTTATCTTATAGCTCCACACCTCTTGCCAAGATCCTAGCATTCACTTCTCTTACAACCCCATCTATAAATATATTGAACAACCACGGTGACATCACACATCCTTGTCTAAGGCCTACTTTTACTAGGAAATAATCTCCCTCTCTCCTATCCTCGTAAAAACTCTTCACTGCTTTCAGTAACCTACCTCCTATATCATACACCTGCAACATCTGCCACATTGTACCCCTATCCACCCTGTCATATGCCTTTTCTAAATCCAAAAATGCCACAAAAACCTCTTTAGCCTTATCTAAATACTGTTCACCTATATGTTTCACTGTAAACACTTTGTCTACACACCCCCTACCTTTCCTAAAGCCTCCTTGTTCATCTGCTATCCTACTCTCTGTCTTTCTCTTAATTCTTTCAATAATAACTACCATACACTTTACCAGGTATACTCAACAGACTTATTCCCCTATAATTTTTGCACTCTTTTATCCCCTTGCCTTTATACAAAGGAACTATGCATGCTCTCTGCCAATCCCTAGGTACCTTACCCTCTTCCATACATTTATTTATTTATTTATTTTATGTCTTTGCAAAGAGTACGTTGAGATTTTGTATTTACAATAGTGGGTTGCAATGCAAAGAGAGCCTCTATTATGCCTAGGCATTATGGGCCAACTTAACATTATTGGCTTATAGTCTACTTAACACTAAGGAGTATATCATAGTTGTACAGTAGGATAGTAATTATTTTTTAGTTGTACAGAAGAATATTAATTATAAATGAATCAAAATTTGTATAATACAAAAAATATTTATATTCAAAAATGCTTTTTGTGAAAACAATGATTCAATTATATTCCTGTCAACAATGGATAAAAGGTTCAATGTGATTGTTTCAGTTATGATGTGGAGTACATAGATGAATAAGTGTGTACCGAGTATTTAGCGTTTAGACTAGGGTGATTAAGTGGCTTTTGAGAAGAGTCTTAAATTGATTTTCAGACTGGGTTACTTTAATATCTTCTGGTAATGAATTCCATATTTTGGGGCCCTTTATGTGCATAGAGTTTTTACACAGTGTGATATGTACACGAGGTATATCAAAAAGAGATCTGTGTCTTGTGTTGTGGTCATGTGTCCTGTTTAGGTTGGTGAGGAGAAGTTTGAGTGGGAGGGTTTATATTTGCATGTATTGTTCTGTGTATGTAGTAGGCACATGAATAAGTATGGATGTTCTTAATGGTAAGCAGATTCAGACTTTTAAAAATTGGTGGAGTATGCTGGCAGGAGTGGGAATTTAAATAATAGCACCAACTACTCCAAAACTATATCCCCTCCTGCTTTTAACATTTCTATCTTTATACCATCAATCCCAGCTGCCTTACCCCCTTTCATTCTACTCACTGCCTCACAAACTTCCCCCACACTCACAACTGGCTCTTCCTCACTCCTACAAGATGTTATTCCTCCTTGCCCTATACACGAAATCACAGCTTCCCTACCTTCATCAACATTTAACAATTCCTCAAAATCTTCCCTCCATCTTCCCAATACCTCTAACTCTTCATTTAATAACTCCCCTCTCCTATTTTTAACTGTCAAATCCATTTGTTCCCTAGGCTTCCTCAACTTATTAATCTCATTCCAAAACTTTTTCTTATTTTCAACAAAATTTGTTGATAACATCTCACCCACTCTCTCATTTGCTCTCTTTTTACATTGCTTCACCACTCTCTTAACCTCTCTTTTTCTCTCCATATATTCTTCCCTCCTTGTATCACTTCTACTTTGTAAAAATCTCTCGTACGCTAACTTTTTCTCCCTTACTACCATCTTTACATCATCATTCCACCAATCGCTCTTCTTCCCTCCCGCACCCACTTTCCTGTAACCACAAACTTCTGCTGAACACTCTAACACTACATTCTTAAACCTACCCCATATATCTTCGACCTCATTGCCTATACAGTGGACCCCCGCCTTACGATATTAATCCATTCCTGAGAGCTCATCGTGAGCCGAAATTATCGTAAGGCGAATTAATTTTCCCCATAAGAAATAATGGAAATCAAATTAATTCGTGCAAGACACCCAAAAGTCTGAAAAAAAAAATTTTACCACATGAAATATTAATTTTAATACACACAAACTTAAGAAGACATGCACAATTAATACTCTACTAAGAACAGAATACATGACACTTACATTTATTGAAGATCTGGTGATGATTGATGGGATGGGAGGGGAGTGTGGAAGTTGTTATTGTTTAGAAAGGGAATCCCCTTCCATTAGGACTTGAGGTATCAAGTCCTTTTCCGGGGTTACTTCCCTTCTTCTTTTAATGCCACTAGGACCAGCTTGAGAGTCACTGGACCTCTGTCGCACAACAAATCTGTCCATAGAGCTCTGTACCTCCTGTTCCTTTAAGATTTGCCTAAAATGGGCCACAACATTGTCATTGTAATAGTCACCAGCACGGCTTGCCATAGCTGTGTTAGGATGCTTTTCATCCATAAAGGTTTGCAGTTCAGCCCACTTTGCACACACTTCCTTAATCTTTGAAGTAGGCACAATAGATTCCACAACTGGCATAAGCAACACACACACACATGAACAGGTAACACACACGCACACACACACAGAAAGACAGGTAATACACACACACACACACACTGAAAGACAGGTAACACACACACACACACAAACAGGCAACACACACACATGGACAGGTAACACATACTCGCACACACATAGACAGGCAACACACACATACACATGGACAGGTGACACACACATACACATGGACAGGTAACACTAACACACACACACACACACACACGCGCACAAGCACACACACGGACATGTAATATACATGCGATTCGTCCGGGACGTGACCCGACGAATCATGTGAGGCGAGTTTTTTAGCGTGAGGCGAGGCAAAATTTTTGCATTCAAATGTATCGTATGGCGGATTTAACGTAAAGCGATGCCATCGTAAGGCGGGGGTCCACTGTACTCTCACTAGCCCATTTACCCTCCAATAGTTCTTTATATCTTACCCTAACTGCCTCCTCTTTTAGTTTATACACCTTCACCTCTCTCTTACTTGCTGCTTCTATTTTCCTTGTATCCCATCTACCTTTTACTCTCACTGTAGCTACAACTAGAAAGTGATCTGATATATCTGTAGCCCCTCTATAAACATGTACATCCTGAAGTCTACTCAACAGTCTTTTATCTACCAATACATAGTCCAACAAACTACTGTCATTATGCCCTACATCATATATTGTATACTTATTTATCCTCTTTTTCTTAAAATACGTATTACTTATAACTAAACCCCTTTCTATACAAAGGTCAATCAAAGGGCTCCCATTACAAAGTAATGGAAATTAAAAAAAAAAAACAGCAATAACAGGCCACAAAAAAGAAAGACTACTTATATCAGTAGTGGTTTGGACATTTAAAGAAGATAAAGCACAATAGGATGACTTAGAGTGTGTATAAATCTGTAGTGGAGGGAAGGCACAGTAGGGGGTCACCCTAGGAAAGGTTGGAGGGACAAGGTAAAGGAGGTTTTGTGCGTGAGGGGCATGGACATTCACCAGGTATGAGCCAGCATGTTAAATAAGAATAGAGGCAAATGGTATTTGGGATGAAGACCTGCTGGAGTATAAGCAAGGTAACATTTGCAAAGGGATTCAGAGAAACCGGTTAGCTGGACATGAGTCCTATCAGTGGGAAGTACA